ACCTCAGGCTGAGTAATTTATAAAGAAAAGAGGTTTATTTTGCCTCAGTTCTGCCAGCTGTATGAGAAGTGTGGTGCTGGCATCTTCTCCTGGTGAGGCCTCAGGAAGCTTCAAATCCTGGCTGCAGGCAAAGGGGAGCTGGTATATCACATACACAGAGAGGACATGCCAGGCTTTTTCAACAACCAGCTCTCACATGAACTCACACAGCAAGAATTCACTCATTGCCATGAGGACACAACCAAGCCATATGTGAGGGAGCCACCCTCATGACCCAAACCCCTCCCACCTAGGCCCATCTCCAACACTGGAGGTCATACTTTAACATGATGAGATTTAGAGGGGAAAAAATCCTCAAACCATATCACACCTCAAGTGCCTTTGCATTTCCTATTGGGAGATGCTTCCTCTTGAGAGGTATCTCCCCATGGATATTTTCAAGTTTGTTGCCTTCTTATCACTTAGGTCTCAGCCTTTCATGTCATCACCCTATCAAAAATTGCTACCCCTAATCCCACATCATGTGACCCACATAAAGAGAGTGGGGTCCCAGCAGGAAACAGATAACACAAGCAAATTAAGACAATTTGAAAAGAATTGTGTAACAGCATGGACAGAATACAAGGAGACTATAAGGAGATCGTACAGAATCATGGAGCTGGCAATGATGGAGTGCTGTTACCATCCATAGGCATGAATGAAACCCAGAAACACAGAAGACTACATGGAGAGGACCTCTGGTTGAGATATAGCCAGTACACGGAGACCAGCACCTCACTCTCCTCTCTTCCTGCAGTTTCCTGCCAGTGCTCTCCACTGGTCGAATCCACTTGGACACAGGAAGACAAGGGACCTTGTTGATGTGCAAGCCAGTAAATCCCCCAGGGTGTGGACAGTGGATCTAGAAAGGCTACATGGCTACATTAGATATCCAGTCTACTGTCTTCTCTTTATCCTGCCTTATTTTCTTCAAGGCATTAATCACTGTCTGACATTATTTATGTGTTTACTTAGTATCTGTCTCCTGCATAGAGCTCAGGACACAGTAGGAGTTCAATAAATTATTAAAAAATCAAATTCACCTCGTTTTGAACTCTGGAAGTCACAATCTGCCCAGGGATACATGCCCTATTTGTAGATACTGAAGACACTGATGTTAAAGATTATTTTACCAGCCAGGTACAGTGCCTCATGCCCGTAATCTAGTACTTTGGGAGACCAAGGTAGAAGGACTGACTGAGTTCAGGAGTTCAAGACCAGCCTGGGAAACATAGTGAGACCTATCTCTACAAAATTAAAAACTAAAAACTTAGCCAGGCATGGTGGTGTGTGTCTGTAATCCCAGCTACCTAGGGAGGATAAGAAGGGAGGACTGCTTGAACCCAAGAGTTAGAGGCTGCAGTGAGCTATACCCTGTCTCAAAGAAGTACATTTTTCCTACTCAGTAATTTTGTGATTTATAGCATAAATGGGCTTTAAATGGAAAACCACAATACATACATTCTTATCTTCAATTAGGTAGAATATTTGGGGGAACTGGAAACAACAGGAAGTGGGAAAAAGAGTCAGAAGAAGAGGGTAATTTTGGATAGCAGCACATCTCCCTGCCCATTATGGTGAATCTTTTGCTTGCCATATGTGATATCAAACTGTCTGCCAATTTGTCATTCTTCATTCATCTGTATTTAAAATGTTATATAAATCATTAAAGACACAGATGGTGTCTTTAATTTGATTTAAAGGACACTATGAACCAATGACCCTACTTTTTATAGAACACGAAACCCAACAACTACAGAATACACATTCCTTTCAACTGAACATGGTATATTCACCAAGATAGAGTGCATGCTGGAACATAAAACAAGTCAATAATTTAAAAGAACTGAAATCATTCACATTTTCTGACCACAATAGAATTAAACAGAACACCAGTTACAATAAGATATCTAGAAATCCCAAATATTTGAAAATTAAAAACACATTTCTAAATATTTCATGAATTAAAAACATAAATCACAAAGAAATTTTAAAAAAACATTTTGTACTAGATGATAATGAAAATACAATGTATCAGAATTCCTGAGATTTGGCTACAGTAATGCTTGGAAGGATATTTATAACTTTAGATGCTTCTATTAGAAATGAAGGAAAGACTAAAATCAGTGACCTAATATTCTATTCTAAGAAACTAAAGAGAAAAATAAACCCACCATAGTAGAAAACATAATAAAGATAAGAACAGGCTGGTTATGGTGATTCATGCTTGTAATTCCAATGACTTGGGAGGCATAGGCAGGTGGGTCACTTGATGACAGGAATTCAAGACCAGTTCAGGCAACATAGAGATTCCATCTCTAAAAATAAAAAGAAGAAAAAAAGATAAGAACAGAAACCAACAAAATGAAAAATAAGCAGGGAAAATTAGTAAAGTCAAAAGCTTTATCTTTGAAGATTGACAAATCTTTTCAAACTTCGAAAACTGACAAATTCAATTACACTGATTAAGAAGAGAACACAAATATCAGGAATGAAAGTGGGTTACTACAACAGATCATACAGACATTAAAAAGCCAGTAAGACAGTATTTATGAACTTTATACCAAAATATTTGACAACTTAGACAAAATCAACAACTTTCTTGTATGCCACTCAACACATCCTGGAACTGAATTGACTCAGTTTAGCAAGTCAGGTAAATCTAGATTAGACCAAATTATCAAACACAGTCTGAGAGAAAAGCCTCTAGAGTTTGCTAACATTCTATATGATATGAATGAAATAGAGACATTGGTAGATACTCTATTTCTTTAGAATAGAACAAATTAGTCCCACAGCTACTGGCATTTGGCTGAATTTTTTTTTTTTTTTTTTTTTTAGACTGCGCCTCACTCTGTCACCCCGGTTGGAGTGCAGTGGCGTGATCTCGACTTACTGCAACCTCCACCTCCCGGGTTCAAGCGATTTTCATGCCTCAAGCCTCCTGAGTAGCTGGGACTACAGGCGTGCACTGCCACGCCAGGCTAATTTTTAGTTTTTATTTTTTGTAGACACAGGGTTTCGCCATGTTGACCAGGATAGTCCCGAACTCCTGACCTCAGGTGATCCACCCGCTTCAGCCTCCCAAAGTGCTGGGATTACAGGTGTGAGCCATCACGACTGGCCTTGGCTGAATTTTTATTAGATCTGAGCCATTCAATTTCAACTTCACATTCAACCTCACAGGCAAAGAATAAAGGAAATGATACCAACATATTTATCTATCAATAAACACTTGGTGATTTGAATGTGATTAAGAGATTCCTATAGTTTGCCCCCTTTAAAACCGAACTTTGTCCAAACCTGTTCCAAATATGTGTGTGTGCGTGTGTATGCATATGTGTGTTCGGGAGGAGCAGTTGGAAAGATCCTTTTAAATTTCATCTATAGAGGGACTACGTCACACCTCATCCTATGAGATCAACATTATCCTAAATTCCAAAGCCAGATTAAGACACTAACGCTAGAAGAAAACTATGGAACAATATCTCTCATGAAAACACAGATGCAAAACGTCTAAATAAAACTGCCAAATTGAATTCAAGAACATATTAAAAGGACAAAATAATCTCTGGTTGCTTGGGAGACTGGGGAGGGGATGGATCCCTACCTTGGTTGTGGTGTCGATAACCTATCAAACTGTTTACTTTAAATATGTGCAGTTTATTGTATCCCAACCATACCTCAATAAAGCTGTTTTTCAGAAACATTGCCCATATAGTTTTGCCTTTGAGTGGTGGGGAGAATGAAGAGAAAAACGAGTGAAAACAGGACATCATCACATTTTGTTCTTAAGCCCAAACTAGTAACTTTGGGAACACGGGTTCAAGCTGGAGAAGGGGCGCTGTCTGGGGAGGGGTTTCTGAATTGGGGCTGCTCCGGGGCCACGGAGAGAGGGGGAGAGAACGTCGAGAAAGAGGCAGAGCTCAGGGGAATGGAGGATGGAACACAGAGCGCGGCCGGGACAAAGGGGCAGGCGGGCCGTCGTGACACAGAAACGGGGCGGTCCGCTACTGGGATGCAGTCTCGACGGCGGGGTAGCCCGAGCCCGGTGACCAGTCGCTCACACCCAGGGCTAGCGCGTGTGCGCGCCCGCGGAAGCACTCGAGCGACTGGAGAGAGAGAAAGAGGCCAAGGGGACCTCCTTCCAACTCTACGCGGCTCTCGTTCAGAGAGCTGAGGTCAGGAAAGGGGAAGAGGACGGAGCCGCGGAGCAACAGAAGCCAGGCGCTGCCAGAGGCGCGGAGGGCGGAGCCAGGGGAGGGCGGCTGACCGCGGCCTCCGCTCCTCCCCGAGCCGGGGCGGACCCGAGGCCTCGATCCGCCTTCCCCGCGCCGTCCCGGTCACGGCCCTGCGGGGCAGCCATGCCGGGACGCCTGCTGCGAGGCCTGTGGCAGCGATGGCGCCGTTACAAGTACCGCTTCGTTCCCTGGATCGCGCTGAACCTAAGCCACAACCCGAGGTGAGAGGCCGAAGCGGCCGGACGAGGAGCGCCTGCCTTCAGCTCCCAGATGCCACCAGGGCTGCGGGACGAAAGCGGAGAGCCGGTGGCTGACTGGAGGCCTGAGGCGGGCGGGGCCTGAGGCAGGTGGGCGGGGCCTGAAGTGGGCGGGCCTGGAGGGCGGACCCTTAGGCCGCGGAGGGGTTTAAGGACCGCTGGGCAGTGGCGGGCGGGGCCAGGAGCGAGCTGGCGGCCTGTAGCAGGCGGTGGCTTCAGGTGGGCGGGGCCTGTGGCCGTTCCCAGTGTCCGCCGCGCTGCCGGGCCCGCTAGGCCGGGTTCGCCTTCGGGAGCTGTTACCTGTTCTTCCCTATTGCTTTCGGCACTGACTGGGGCGCTTGTATCTGGGCAAAAAATGGAAATTTTTTAAGGGACCGCTCTTACCGCGTGAGAGTGCGTGGCCTTTTCTCCACCAGGGCTTAGTTAGGAGCTTGAACTTACTCAGAAAAGCGAAGCCAGGGTTTATTTTCATAGTTCATGGAAGTACTTCACGTGGTGAAAGCAGCCTAGCCCGGCTGTGAGAATGGGGTGGATTAGCTCGCGCGTTAAGAACGGGCAGAACACCACTCAAAGCAGGTCGGGATGATGGGTTTCGGATTGGAGTGCGTCCCGCCGGCGTTATTAAGGACGCACTAGTGATCTGCAGCTCAACACCGTGCTCACCAAAGAAGCTGACTGTGCCTCTCTGAAATCAGTGTCCGAAAAGTAGGGAAACAAAGCGCTTTCCCGAAGTTGCATACTAGGGAACCAGATCAGTTGTATCATGACTACCGAACTGTGAGGCGGGAATTACAACCTTTATGTTCAAATAAAAATAATAGTACGAAAAGAGAATGGTTATGAAAATAAGAGCTGCAGTTATTAAAGACGTTAGTACTCCTGGAGGGAATGTCACAAAGTATATGATGTTCAGTATGTCTTTGAAACTAAAAGGCCATTTTTTAAAAGCCATTGAATGTGGGGTCATTCATTCTCACTGTGATGACCTTCAGCTTGGCTGTTGGGTGTAGCGCGGGAAAGAGCTGAGCTTCGTTTCTGCCTCTGGCAGTCCCGCTTGCTGGCTTTGGGACCTTGGTCAAGTTCCCTAGCAACTCTGCTTTCCTAGTCTGTAAAAATGGAATAATGTAAGGACCCCACAGCGTGCAGTATAGAGTGGGCCTTTCATAAGTACTGGCTACTTGGGTGGGAAGTGTTGGGAGTTAGCTAACTAGAACTCCGCCAAACAATTCTTTTCTTAACGGTTTCCAGCCCTTCACACACAGGAGAATAAGCTTATAGTTCATTAAGGCCAGTAACCCAGAAAGTATGCAGATAGTTTGGCTTTTATCCGTTGAAGGGGTAGTGAATAGAAACTTTTCCCATTTTCAGGACCCTCCGATATGTTCCAAAGGAATCCAAAGACAAAGTTATCTCAGATGAAGATGTCCTAGGAGCATTACTGAAAGTTTTCCAGGCTCTATTCTTAAATGATTTCAATAAACAATCAGAAATCTTGACTGTGCTTCCAGAATCTGTTAAATCAAAATATCAAGACCTACTGGAAGTTGAACATCAAGGGTTGAAACTGCTTGAAAACAGACATCAACAGCAAAGTACCTTTAAACCAGAAGAAATTCTTTACAAGACTTTGGGTTTCAGTGTTGCCCAAGCAACTAGCTCATTAAATTCTGCTGGAAAAGGTGTCTTCGTTACTAAAGGATTGGTACCAAAGGGCGCGGTCGTATCTATGTATCCTGGTAACAGCACGATTAGTATTATATTTTGCCAAGCTTCTTACATATTGATAAATATAAGTTCAACAAAATACCCAGCCCTGTAATCCTTAGAGTAAGAGATTAAATTGAAGACTCGAATTTCCATAGATTTTTACAATTCTAATTTGGAAATTAACTGTTTGTAAATTGTTATGTGTTAGTATCCTGGAGTATTTGTTGGGATAAATGCATTTTTTTAAATGAAGGAAATCTTTCTAGTCGGTGTTTATTTACATTTAGAACATAGTAAGAACTACTTTGACAAATTGCTTAAAAAGCACTCGAGAAAAAAGTCTGTTTGGTTTAATTGATAGCTAATATCAAAACGGTATGGATCAAAACAAAAAATAGTGTTTAAACCCATAAATCACTAAATAAAGACCTTCCTACCCTTTCTATACTTGGAAAGTAAAGCAATTTCTGGGCAAAAGATCATTGACTAAATGCTCAATAGACTGCATTATGTGTTAAAGTAACATTATGTTATTCGGTATAGTGGAAAGTGTGTGTATGAATATTTGAGCCAGGTAGACCCAATGTTTTTAAAAAGTAATTCTGTTTTTGAATTTTTCATTCCCAAGCAAGGGAGTTTCAGTTTCCTGCTGTACAAGTAACCTAATTGTGTGAAGACTAAATAGAATAAATAAATTAATGCTAAAACAAGTTTAATAAATAGATTAACATGCCTGGAACATAGGAAGCGCTCAGTAAATATTTTCTCCTTTTGTTTTTTGCCAGTGAAAGGAGAAACAGCCTTAATGTCAGACATCTGTTCCCATATGTGTCTATATTATTTATTAGCAAAGTAAATTTCTTCAGACTCTTTAGATGTCAAGTCACATTCTACTTAAAATGTGTGTGTGTGTGTGTGACTTTGTAAAACTGAGCCTCAAATGTGACATTCATATTATCATTAACCAAGATACCCATATTCTCTTTTGCTGTGTGGATAAATTGATTCTCTGCTCTATCTGCTATTGGACATCCACTCTTTAAAAGGGGGAAAGTAACTAAAGAGAAGTAATCATGTTCCACAGAAGAGTTCTTATCACAATGTTTATGCTTTCTCATATTGCTATATTTCTTTGTCTTGTATAATAGGTACAGTATATCAGAATTATGAGCCCATCTTTTTCCAGTCCATTGGAAATCCATTTATTTTTAGATGCCTGGATGGGGTACTTATTGATGGGAATGACAAAGGAATATCAAAAGTTGTGTACAGGTAAGTTATGTCCATGTTCAAACTTAATTATAGGAGACAGAGCCACACTTACCACGATGGTTATTACTAACAGCATTTTTACTTTATTTTTTATAAAAAGAGATGGGGTTGCTGTGTTGACCAGGCTGGTCTCGAACTCCTGGCATCAAGCAGATCCTGCCATCTCGGCCTCCTGACGTGCTGGGATTACAGGCTTGAGCCACCGCACCTGGCTCAGCATTTATACTTTAAACAAAATTCTGTTTAGATCATTGCTGTGTAACAACTCAGTTGCCCTATTGAGTATATAAAACTCTTGGAAAAAATACACTTGTTTAATTCTAGTGTTAATTTTGTGTTTTTGAATTCTATTTTAAGATACAGATCCATTAGCTAATACTTCCACCTGTTTCAGATCATGCAATGGGAGGGATCGACTCGGCCCTTTAAAAATGAGTGATAGCACATGGCTAACGTCAGAAATTCATAACCCCCTGGCTATGGGACAGTATGTCAACAATTGTTCCAATGGTAAGAAGGCATCATGGGGCTGTGAGACAAGATATAGCAATGGCTAATTCTACTTCTTTGTCACATGACTGAGTGCCAAAGACAGTTGAGTATAACATATAATAAGCTAGTCAAGCCCTTAAGCAACTATCACTTTTAGAGGGATGATGTCAGAGAATTAGGGGAAATAATGATATACATTATTTATAATTCTTTAATTTACTATTTTTCTTCTGGTTTTGTAGTGAATATAGGCAACTGATAACAACCGCCCTTTTGATCATTATTATTTTAGCATTTTTCAAATAGAAATTCGTTGGTCATCGCCTCAAGATAGCTTTACAGATTAATGACTAGACTGGTATCTGCTTTCTGTTGCTAAGTTTGTGAGTCACTATATCTTCTTTAGGACTTGACTTTCCCATGGGTAAAAGTCTGATTGTTTGATTACATTTAACATGGGCTTTGCCATTAGTGAGAAACGAAGTCCAAGCCTGACTCTTTTATTAATATTTAATCTTTAACATTACTGAGCCTCTATTTTCTGATATATAAAAAGTGAACCATAAAACATACATATATATTATGTATGTTGGCATATATTATCCAAACATATGCTTATGTTATTTATGCAAAAAGTAAATAATAAAATGTTTTATATATGTTTTTAACTTTTTGAATATTTTATATATTTATGATTTACTACATATATATCTACAAATATAAATAAGTAAATAAAATCTAAGTGCCTAGAGCATAGTAGTAATTATTTTGAGCATGTTTTGATAATTTAGAAAAAGAGACATTAAGTATCATAATTCAATTCTGTTTTCCATGACCTTGTATAATGGCTCTTTTTCTAAAAATTATGTGCTCATTCCTAGACAGAGCAGCTAATGTCTGTTATCAGGAATTTGATGTGCCTGCAGTTTTCCCTATAGAACTGAAGCAATATCTTCCAAACATTGCCTACCGCTATGACAAGCAAAGGTTAGTTTGCTAAAAGAGCATTTCATATCTTCTGTCTTATGCTATACTTAAAAAAAAATGGAAAAGCTATGTAGAATTTGGGGTTTTTTTTTAGTGAAAAATTATAATTTAGATTTTTATGTTCATCACACCTTAATGTGTTAATGTGGGCTTATTTGAAATTGAAAATTTTCCTTTAACCTAGATCATTCTGCTTATTTTTACCCATTTTTATTCTATGGTAATACTTCATAAGTATCCACCTTAAAGTTTTTTCAAGGGATTCTGTTGTTTTTCCTACTCACAAAATCTTCAAATATATTTTTACTTTGATCATTTATAATATCATGTTCTCTACCTTGTATGAAAGCACCCAGTTGAAGAAAGAGGCCAAATTATACTATGATTTATTTGCCAATTTCACTATTAGATTCTTAATAATGAAAAAAAGGACTATATCCAGAAGACACATATTTTAATGTAGCATTTATTTTCTGTTCATTAAGTAGAAAGTCTACTGAGAATATTCAAATAACGATTTTAAAATGTAGATAATTCTGGAGAGCTAAGAGTCCTTTGTTAACAGTGATGTAGAAAGGTATAATCTTTATTATTTCACTGAGTTGCTAGCAAACTTTATTTTATATAGGATCTATTAAATTGTCCTTCTAAGGTGAATGATATTTAAAACACGAAATATTTCTTATACTTAAAACTTGAGGGGCTGGTTGCGGTGGCTCACGCCTGTAATCCCAGCACTTTGGGAGGCCGAGGCGGGTGGATCACGAGGTCAAGAGATTGAGGTCATCCTGGTCAACATGGTGAAACCCCGTCTCTACTAAAAATACAAAAAATTAGCTGGGCGTGGTGGCGCGTGCCTGTAATCCCAGGTACTCAGGAGGCTGAGGCAGGAGAATTGCCTGAACCCAGGAGGCGGAGGTTGCGGTGAGCCGAGATCGCGCCATTGCACTCCAGCCTGGGTAACGAGAGCGAAACTCCGTCTCAAAAAAAAAACAAAAAACTTGAGACCAGGCATAGTGGCTCAAACCTGTAATCTCAGCACTTCGGGAGGCCGAGGTGGGTGGATTGCTTGAGCACAGGAATTCGAAAACAGCCCAGACAACATGGCAGAACCCCTTTTCTACAAAAAGTACAAAAATTAGCTGGGCGTGGTGGTGCGCACCTGTAGTCCCAGCTACTTGGGAAGCTGAGGTGGTAGGATCCTTGACCCTGGGAGCTGGAGGTTGCAGTGAGCCAAGATGGCACCACTGTACTCCAGCCTGGGTGGCGACAGAGCCAGATCCTTTCCCCAAAAAAACAAAAACAAAAACTGAAACCTTGATAACTTTTGCCTCTCTGCATGTGTATGTTTGTGTGTTTATCAATTAACTTTTCTTAGCCATATACTCCAGGGCATGTTATTAGAACTTTGAAGGTGTACATGTAACAATATCTTACGATGTCCAGAAAAAAGTATTTTTAAAAATTCCAATTAAGTAATTTTTTTTATTTTTCAGAATATAAGATACAAATGAGTAAAAGAAAAACTATGATGTCATTTTAAAATCCTTTTCGTGATACTAGTTTTGGGGGCCTAAACTTAGAAACAACATTGTCAGAAGAAGTAATCAAGTTGTATAAACATTGATTTGTGATTTTTTAAATGATAAAGACATACTCTCATTTAGAATACCCACATCAGGGATAAGTACTATTTCCTCATGGAAATCAAACATATAAACTAAAATGTAAGGAACCTGAGTAAAGTTACATTTATAAAACCCATATTGGTTATATTAAAAATATGAGGTTATATTTATTAATGTTCTACCTTTTGTATATTTTTCTTTTTGTTTTCAGCCCACTTCGATGTGTTGTTCTTGTCGCACTTAGGGACATCAAACAAGGAGAAGAGCTGTTTTCAAACTACTACACAGTTGTCAGCTAACTCTGTGAATCAGAAATTAGGTTTTCTACTCAGCTACTGAGTTAATTCTAAGTATTTTTTTGTTAATCACTTCTCTGAATTCTACCTGTAGAACAAATATTTTGAGACCTAATTGGAATAGGAATTTTTTATGTTTTTGTTGATATTATATTTGTTCCAGTTTCATGATAAAAGCTATTTGCTTCATTACAATTTCAAATTAATTTGTAATGCAATTCTAATTTTAATTGGTTTTCACCTAAATACACAATAGCTTATTAAATTAAAACCTACTACTTGAACTTATAATTTCAATTTTTCTTTGTTTATTTTGTAAGCTCTGTGGTGATTTATAAAATTGTAGCCCAGCATCAGCAGTTCTTGTAGTACTGCTGATGTGTACAAACTTCTGTAAAAATTTTATTTTTACAGAATCGAGTAAAAAATGTCTATTTTGTTCTCATGAGTAAATTGCTGTGTGTATATATAATGTAAAGATTGCTCTAGCTGGGTAAGGGGAAAATGTGAGGTTATTATACTATTGTCTTTACTCTTTGAACATTTTCACAGCAAAGAAAAGGTGAAAAAGTACAGGATAGTGTTGGTGGGAGGAACATTTATTCCGCGTGTTTCATGTCTTCATGTGGAGGCTTCCACTAGTAATGTTCCTAGCCTCTCTCTCCACCCACTGAAGGAAGACTGACTTCCTGATTGTTTGAATAATTAGGCACCCATGTCCTGTACCCTTCTAGATCCTTCTCTGTGGACTCTGCCTGCCAGCAGAAAAAAATGTAACCTGACAGTTCTCTGCCTTGTGCAGAGTAGCCTGCAGCCAGCCCATCCAGTGACAGCGAGCCAACCTGGCTGCAGCCTTGAAGCTACCTTCCCGTTTTATTAGCAATAGTTACTTTGACCTTCATCAACCTGACTCCAGCTCTCTGAGTTCCAAACTTGGATAGGAAAGAGGGTGTTCTTGATTGGGCTCCTCAAATCTTCATGGAACCTATATAACTATATTCTGACCACCTTCCTTACCATAAGCTTTATTCACCTAGTTCATTGCAATTTCAGTAGCCTCTCAATTGCCTTCCTTCTTTCCACTCCTATCCCCCTTCCACAACATAACGCCAAGTGTGAATTTTTTAAATGAGTCAAGTCTTGAAAGACCCTGCTCAAAACCCTTTTCCTGTCATGAAGTCCTTCACATGCATTATCTGCTCATGACCTCAGAGCTGCTCTCCTGTTCACCCCTTGCTCACTCCACCTGGCCCACACCTGCCTCCTGGCCACTCTTTGAACCTCCCAGGCACATTCCCACCCCAGGACTTTTGCACTTGTTCTGCCTGTAAACATCTTCCCTCAGATAGCCACAGAGCTTGTTCTCTCCCTTGCTGTCACCTCAGGGAGAAGCATGGCCTGATCACCCTATTGAAATTTGTAATCCCTCAATGCCCCTACCCATATGTTCCTCATTCCACTTCCCTATTCCCTTTAGCACTTACCACCAGCAAGCTCAAGAAGCATACTATAGTTGGAAATTATGGCCGAAATGACTCCTAGTAACCTAGATGTAACTAGGTAATCCTGCTTCCACAGGCTTTTCCATCTTCTAAAGCCTAAACTACTATGAGCTCTCATATGGCACTTGGTTGCATGCTTGCTGTATTCAAAATGTGTACTTGACCCCACTCTGAAGGCATTTCTGTCATGTGTCCATGACAGAGCCCTGTGTGCTAAGGTCCTTTGGTGTCTGAGAAGGAAGGAATGTAACCAGAGCAGAGGAGTCAAGGTTTTTGCTTTCCTTTTATCCCTTTCTTTGCCTCGTACAAACTGGGTATTATGGGCAGTCTGATCACTGCATATTAAAAATAGAACTACATAAAGCTCTGGTCAGAACAAATGAAATACGGGGACAAACTTGTGAAATAAGGCCAAGATAGGAGCTTTAGCTTGAAAAGATGTTTAGGAAAGATATGACTAGAGTCAATCAAACTATGAATAATATGGGTAAGGAAGACTAGTTGACTCTAAATAGACTGTCAAGTAATATTTGATCAAATTTCAGATACGTCTTCCTAAAAGTTACCTAAAACAGTGTTTGAAACATAATATTCGATAAATATTTCCTGAATTAAACTAAAAGTATAATCCTTACTTTGGACTTTGATTATACATGGAAAATTGTTATAGAGAATTTAAAGAAAACATTTAATCTACCAACTTCACTACCCATCATGTATCTTATTTATTACATGTGAAACCAATTTAACAGTGGTGTAATAGCTACCTATTTGGTTTAGCTTAAAATTCATTAAATAAAGTATCTATTTTTGGCAAATATTCACACAAACCAAGAAAAAAAAGATTCCCAGATTTTTATTTCTGGAACTGTACACCAGGTATTAAAGTACAACAAATACAAAATAATGCTAAAAAAAAATCAGTGTTTATGTACAAATATTAAAATCAATGCAACAATAGCAACTTCCTCTTGAACATCTGATACTGAAACTTGTTCTGATTGTCACTAATTTATCTCAGACTCACAGGGTACTTACTTCAAACTGGGACAACTGGAATCACTGGTCATCTAAGAGGTATATTAATATCTACGATATTTAACAATAAAACTAATAGTTTCCTCCATTTAGTGAAAAAATTAGGAACTTTTTAAAAAACATAGTAATGTCAATATTTTATAAATTATTTCAATTTCCATTTGTAGACAATGTGCTTTGAAACTCTGGGCAAACAAACTCTCCTTGGTGGTCAGGTTTATTCATTAGTTTACATTCAAAGTTGAAATATTCACTAGAGACTTTGGTTAAATTAAATAGTATTACTACATACTATTAGATCTGACGTTCTCAAATATTTACGACCCTCAACATTTTAAAAATTAAAAAGGAAATGATTGCACAACTCTTTGACCTAATTGTACAGATTTTAGTATTTTTTAAACAGTAATTTACATCCTTCAAGTAAATTCAGCAGTTGACCATGACAAGAGGAAAACTAAACATTTAAAAAAGCTAGCATGAAAAAGATGAAGTACAACTAACAAATGTATTGCTATAATCACAGCACCAGTTACACTTCTAAATGAATCCACTGTCCTCTTCAAATTCCCTGTACATAAAAGATATATCAGCCAACACTGCAATTGCTCACCATAAATTTTTGGTTTGTTCATAAGAAAATATTGCGGCAAAGGAAAAAAAAGAATTTATCACAGTTTCTTATAAGAATTGTGCTTAACACTTGATAATAAAGGCATTATTGTTTCTTCATACGACTGCAAATCAGTTGTTTTCTTGCTTCCAAACGCAATTCTTTTAATAAACAGTAACAAATTCTCTGTTAAGATGTTTAAACTGAGAGAGACAAAAAAACAGCAAATCCAGCTTTTAAAAGAAAATTCAATAAATAGCTATTTTACATGGATAAAGTCATAGTGGTACAATTTATGAATGTCACATCAAGCATGCACAAAAATGGTATTATACATGACAGAAGTAGTCAGAAAATATTGAATCAGATCTAAAAAGATATGAAGAATTTACACTTATATACAAAAATCTTGCAAATTATTGCCTCATTTTAACAAGGAATTAAAAGTAAACGTTACCAGCTAGTTAGCACTCTCTAAGAGGCTAAAATCAGATTGGCATTTAAAAATCTGTTAAACTAGCCAGAATTTATTTTTCTCTCATACCATCTTCTGGATTTTGGTCAAAAATCTTTATTTAAATAACTAAAGTGTCCATTCAACTTGCTGATAATCAAAACTTTAGATAAGAAACACTGTTTCTATCTTATATCAAGACCCCAGCAATGCATAGATAAACTGAATATATTACTGCATCAGCTACTGAGAATGGGCATGTTCATTTAAGTGCAACTGGTATTAGTATTCTTTGTGTAAATTATTTATACAAACCAGCCACTGTAAACCCAGAGTGAAAATTAAAGTTATAACAATGGAAGATTATGGCCAGTATCTTAACAAATTATAGAAAGTGTACTGATTTTTAATAAAAGAAATAAGGTTCAAAGTTTAGCACAACAATACAGCAATTAGAAGCTGACAACTTGGATAAAAATATAAGAAAGCAACACAGAGCCCAGGCTACCCATTATTTACTGTGTGCATACAGGAATGCTATACTTCAGATGTATAAATTAGAGACTGATTTTAAGTTATTAATTTAACTACTTTTTGTCCACTGTGCTAAACTAAATTTTACAGTAATGTGCTACTGCATAAACACTTCAAAGCAATCTTCATTAAAATGCTGCAAAGAAAAACAATACACGTCATCCAAAATGAAGGATGTCATTGCAGTTCACAGTTTGTATAATAAATACCCTCCCTTTCGATCACTAAGATCACTACATCCTATCTACTCATCAGCACAACCTTGAAGCAAATTATACCTACAAGTATCAGCAATGCAGCCAAACATTAAGGTTTTTTGCAAAGCAACTAGTAAAAATCAATAATTTTTATTAAGACAGTACAGAAAAGGTAATTCTCTATTTTAACAGTACTACAAAAGCAAAGATTACATCCTAATACTGTATTACACATTGTTTGATTCCCCTTATAACTTAAAAATGCATGTTGATAGCGCAAAAATGGCCAAAGTTTAGGACAATGGCTTCTCATTCACAATATTTGGAATAAAAATAAAACTGAGTTTGAGACACATCTGAATGTCTATCACTTTTTAAAACTTAAGTGGTAATGTACCATTCTGTTTCAGATAGGAACTCACATTTTTCTTGCCAACTCTTCAAGCTTAACAAAAAAGTTTAAATATACTTCAAGGTTCTACTGCATTAGGTATAAAATCTAGAAGTCCCTCTAAATATTAACGCTTTGAACTGCAGTGCTACAAACAACTTAAAAGGAGTCCCAAAATGTAAACCATTGAGTGGCAATATCCTAGGCTTTGTAGACTGTGCCTCTGCAAGTCGACTGCCTCAGGATAAACTAAATTATCAATGACCGGTATGATTTTTTAAGATTACAATCTTGACAATGGTGGACAAAACCCCATCTGAGTACCACATCTTTAAAATGCCAAATTTTTAGCCAATAAATGAAGTTTACACAGAAATCTCCTGGCAGTAACATGACCAATTCTGTGTAAGATAGCCCTGGTCTAGAATTTTGAAACAGGATCCAAGCAAGTGTCTTCATTATTTGCACACAGTTCCTCGTGCTGGCTTCCATAAAGATGGACTTGCTGTTTTGTAAACTGAAGTGCTCTAGTTGAATAACATGAGAGAAGTTTCCGTTTTTA